CAGAAAGAAGATGAAGAGAATGAACTGAGGATGGTTATAAGGTGGTGGAATAGTCTCTCTCCTGCGTTGGCTAGTAACTGTTTCCAATGGGGGGTTTGTACGAGAAAGTTTTAGTTGACGATGGCAATTGGATTAGTCGAACGCTCGTGCTCGTCCATCGTAGTTCTATAACGTTATAATATATAACTGGTTACTTTGGGGTGGGCTCTCTCTTCGAGAGAAGAAGAAGAGAGGAAAAAAAGGGATATCAGACGGTGTAGTTAGACTATATCTGACCCGGGATGGGGCATCAGTGAGGGCCTCAGGGGAGTATAAAAAGGTGGGAGGGAAGTAACTGGCTATGAAAAACTTTTGTAACCGGTTTCCACGTGCAGATTCTCCCCGAGACCCGTTTCACCTCTACTCAACTGAAAAACCGGAGATTATTATTTTTTTTATATATTTTATATTCTTAATTTTGTACTGGAGTGCCTCGCCGGGATTAATTTATTCCATTTTATAATGAGTTTTCGGTTTTTTAATTACTATTTTTTTTATTTTTCCCTGTTAAAAATGGATCTATAAAAATTTTGAAAAAGGATTATTAAAGATTTTATTTCAGGGCTTCAATTTAGTGCTTAAGTGGGTTTTTCTGTTTTTTAGTTATCATTCATTATTTTTTTTCATATAAAAAATTTCTAAACGAAACTATAAATTTTAGGTCAATTAGTTTGTGAAATTTGATAGAAATTTTGACAAATTCAGCTTAATTTTGGGAATTCTCGTCTTCCAGTTGCTCAACAATTCGGAAATTGCAACTGCTAAATTAAATTAAATTGAATGTCCCTTTCCTGAGAATTATCAATCGACTCTCCCCGAAATTGATTTTTTTAATCGTGTCGTTGACCACAAAAAGTAAGAAAAAAATTCTCATCTCCATTAGATTCAGCTATTCACAAAAGAACTCATCCTCAATCTGCCGGACCCCCCTCCACCCACCCCTCCCTGTTAATTTTTAATATCACTGATATCTTCATCCTCCTAGAATGAACTTTCACGAGTAGTCACACGCATCGATGCACCCCACTGCCCTCCCCCTGAAATTAATTTCCCACCCCCCGATTATATATTTGTTTTTAATCCCCCATTGTCATTCTTTTTTCTCCTCTACCTCATCCAATTGAAAAACTTTCTAATTGTTTCTTTTTCGTTCAGCAATTTTTTTTTCACCCCCTTTTTTTTCCATCTTTTGCCTTGCAGAAATCGACTACCATCCAATTTGAAACAAAGTTGAAAAAAAAAAAATAAACTAAAATAACCAGAAAAACCATCCCACCACTATCGGTACATTCAGAATGCTCCAGAGTTTCCTGTCTGGTGGCTCCAGATGTGCCCGACGTGGTCTAGTATTCGTATTCATTTGGGGCCTCGTAATGATTGGTGCACTGCAATTTCGCCGAGTCGAGAATGAGGTACTACAGGAGCATGATTCACCGACGATGGACGAGGTCTATCCGACGGCAGGTGTTTGGGAACATTCACTGGAACAGGCGCCACCATCACCACTAACGTCTGTACACCGTGATACCCCTGGGATACATGAATTATCGGTATATAACAGTGAGAAACGTACGCCAGTTGATGTTGATGGATACATAACTAATAGCATTAACGCTGAAAGACTGAAAAAATACACTGACAAGCGTGAGCCACTGCTTGACAAACGGCCACCAAAAACCGACGAGGAAATAGTCAACGAGATTGAGAAAAAATCACCAAATTTGCCACTAGCCTATTGGATGAAGAGTAGCACCCTGAAGACTTCGGGTGCATCAAAAGCAGGCAGCTGTCCACCCAAATTTCCCAACATATTTGATCTCGAATTTAACAACATCTACTGGCAAACAATGGAGTCATCGAATGGTACTTTTCAACTGTTCGGTGCCTACTACGATAACCGCAATTTATCCCGAATTGGTCCGGCTGTTCGCCTAGTCGGAATGATAAACCGAATCGATCCCAAAGTGAAGACATACTGTCAGCTGTGGTACGAGGGCGAGAGAGATCCAAAAATAGTCGATGTATTCGAGTACAAGTACATATGGTACCCCAAATGGGGCAATTACAAGCAGGGTATCTACCAGCCTTACGTGATAGCATGCAAAGTACCGCAGTCGCAGTGGACAAAGGGTCCACCAGCATCAGTGTCCATTGTGGAAAAGCCTTGCGATGCAGCGAGAAATAATCTACGTGTTATCTACAACAAGCCAAAAGTCAAAAAGGAATTCGCCGTTTGCGTCAAGGGCCTGGATTTCCTACACGAGGATCTCTCAGTGCGTTTAGTCGAGTGGATTGAGCTAATTGGTATACTTGGAGCTGATAAGATATACTTCTACCAACTGCAAGTTCATCCAAACATGACAAAAGTACTCGATTATTATCAGGAGTTGGGAAGAATCGAGGTTACACCACTGACACTGCCTGGTGGACAGCCCAATGTACCGGCATTTCAGCACATGTATCTTACCAAGAAGACCAATCACAAGAGGCAGAATGAACTGATACCCTACAACGATTGTTTGTACAAACACATGTACGAGTATGATTACATTGCTCTACTCGATATCGATGAAGTTATAATGCCAGCCAACGACACAACATGGAGTGAACTCATGAGACGAGTTCTACCGAAGGCACTTAAAGTACGCAATGAAACTCATGCCTCGTACAACGTTAGAAATGTCTACTTTCTCGATGACCTTCTACATCCACATGAGTACTTCGACCACGTGCCGAGGTGAGCTAAAAGTCGTTTATACTCACTCTTTGCATTCGTATTTTCCACACTTTTTTTTTCTTACTTCCAAGCATTCGTCATCGCGTACGAAAGCCAGGTATGAATAATTTATGTCAAACAGGATATTCTAACATCTGTTTTACAAGCGTCTTGTTACTTTTATCGCGAGTACTTCTATCTTGTATTTTTTGCGAAATGGATGCATTGGAGTCGTTAACATTTAGGTTGCGGATCTTTTGTGGTGTATTAACATATTATGATCAGAAAAGAATCGTAATGGGTTGATATCGCGTTTTCTTCAATTGTTCGCTAATAAATCGATGAAATTGATTTTTTTTTTCATGAGTAGGGTTTGTTGAGCTCTATTGATCGGCATTAGTTGAAATTTCATCCATATATTATATTTTTGATTTTAAAAAATCGGTTGTCCCACGACAAATAAAAAAATGTTCTGAATTTATTGAATTGAGTTCGAAGATGAAGGCGATAGCTGTAATCGTTATTTTGATTTGTAGAATAATTTTCAAAAATTTTGTGTTTTATGAAAATTACTATTCCGAGAATATCTTTGGATATCATATTCTAAATTGATTCAATTATCATTGAAACGACCTACTTATATCATTTCACATTTGAAATTTCATCAAATATTAAACTAAATTAAAAATGTAACACAATCGATTAACAAAGAAATTTCCTTGAATTCAATAAAATGATATGAAACCACGAATTATGTACCAAAGAAGCAAATGATGAGCAAAGTTCCACTTGTTATACTTTTTATGTGACAGGTACATGCACATGCTTCAACACGTCTACAGATCCAAGAATTACACAAAACCCAATCAGTACATCAAGTGTTTTCACAATCCAGAGCGCGTTGTTACGCTACATAATCATTTTCCATTGGCTTGTCTCGGCTCTGGATGCACTAGCTATCCGATCGATACGCAGGACGCCCAGTTGCAGCATTATCGTGCAGACTGCGTTAAATCACTCAAGAAGACTTGTCTACAGTATCGTGAAAACAGTGTATTGGATACCAAGATTTGGAGGTACAAGGATAAGCTTGTTGAGCGTGTCACCAAGGCACTGAAGGATCTAAAATTTTTCGGCCCCGGTTAGGGGATTTTTCACGGCATTTAGCATTTTTATTTTATTTCAATGCTCAATTGTCCTCCTTGTTCCCCGGAAAATCATCTAAATATACATTCTTTTATTCCGTGGAATGACGAGACCACTTCTGCCACATTTTCATGGTCAATCTCGATCGTTCTCTGTTGTAAAATATAAATAAAGAACAGTAATGTGTGAACACAACACTGGAGTGAGATAAAAAAAAATACATGTGAAGTGGACGGTTGGAAAAACAGTTATGCTCAACTCAAGTCCAGAACAGAGGGCGATTCACATTGTACCATGAATAGCTCTTTATTGTAGGCCACACTTACTTGTGTGCATTATGACGTCTGCTAACTTTTTGTTAGCAAAAATTCCCATACATTAACGTGTGCCATTAGACTCATCGAGTGAGGCCTACATTGAATGCACTTGTACGTCATTTATTACGACTATTGTTTTATATTCATATTGTACAGTTTGAATATTTGTTTTATTTGTTATGTTCAATTATCGATGAATGGTGAATAAAACGTATGAAATATTTATTTCTATGACTAAAGTTGAGTGGTATTTTTTTGGCTTTTGAATGGAGAGATTGTAATTGTTCCCATTTAAGTTTCAGATTTTTTGGATTAAAAAAATTTTTTTTTGTATCAACCCATTATGATCCAAAAAATTCGAATGTTATATTTTTAAACCCTGTCTGTATGTATGTATGTATGTATGTTTGTGACAACCTTTTCCTTCAATTATTCGCTAATAAATCGATGGAATTAAATCTTTTTTTTTTCAAATTTTGTGTTTTAATTTTTTTTTTCAAATTTGGAATTTTATAAAAATTACAATTCCGATGATATTTTTGAATGTCAAGCTCTAAATTCAGTCAATGATAGCCGAAAATATGAGACTCAACGCCCCTCTGTTCGTTGGTTTGATTCTCATGATGATTTTGTAAATTCTGCATTTTTCGGACATTATTATCATACCATTCAAAAGTTTCTTCATTTTCCGTCTTTCGAAAAATTTACTTCCACTGATTATTTGAATAAAAAAAAGAAAGTTTAAAATTGATTTAATTACCATTAAAACGACCTACTTCGGCTTCCCTGTCGTGGACTGAATGAATTTCATCAAATATCAAACTAAATTGTAAATATAACATAACTGATTAAAAAAGAAATGTCATCCAATTTAATAAAATTATATGAAATAATGAATTATCCACTACAGAAGCAGATGATGTGAAAAATGACCATTCCGAAGCAGCTTGTTAATTCATCAGTAAAAAAAACTACACTATATTAATATAAAAGCAATTTCCCACTTGTTTTTTTCATCTCGGAATGTACTTTAATAGTGCACGACGAGTAGACTTTATTACCTCCAGTGGAAATGACTTTTCCCTCACCTTACACCTCCCCCCTCCCCTCCCAATTTCCCTTTGACGGTTTTCCAGAGGTACTGGGAGAGTTGCTATGGCTTCAGCCACGGAGATCTTTCTGATTTTACGTACTAAAACCTTCTAGGATTGAGCCAAAATGATGATGACCTGAACTGCTCGGGGAAATGGTAAGGAGTCGCAGTTATTTTTCCTCCAGGTTTACGATGTTTTCGTCTTTTTTTTTTTTTTTTTTTTTTCCCGGAGCATATGAACATGCAGCTGAGGTGGAAGGATAGATTTTATCCATCTGAATATATCCCTCTGAGCATTTTCTTTGGGAATACATGGGGGGGATTTTTCAGTGGTACGTGGGGGCTATACCGGGATACGGTGGGTGGATTGGAGGATATAAATATGGCAACAGACTACCCACGCAAGAAAACGTCGCACGCGGGCTTCCACCATGCCGTTGACGATGCTTTTTCGACTAGTTTCAGTCTCATGAAAAAAAAACCGTCGTATGCGAAGTCACAACTGGGATTTGCGTATTTATTCCAGTGTGAAATTAATTCATTTAGAAAAAAAAATGGAAAATAGTATTGTGAATATCATGAGGTGAAAATTTATCTCTCACTTGTGGAGGATTGCTGATGTGATATTCGGGGGGTATTGCAGTGTGCATCTCAGAGTCAACAATTTTGTGGTAGAATTTGGCGTATTTTCGGAGGGTAGAAATTCAGCGCTGGGTGGTTATTCATTCATTCAGGGGTGGAAATAATTAAAACCACAGGCAGTTATGGATCTAACTGATATTGACGGTGATGCTGAACAACCCTCAAAGTGTATTGCATTCCTTCGTTTGACCTGGAAATTCTGTAAATGCATATTCTCACATGTGACACTTGTATCTACCGTTGTTGCATACTGTGTACTCGGTGCATATGCATTTGAGAAGATTGAGGCGGGGCATGAAAAAGACGTACGGTGATTATACATTTATTGGGAGAATTGTAAATGAGGAGTTGAACTAGACTCAACGAGATTTTTTAAGAATTCCGTTTGTTTTTTAAGTTAAAAAGATTGAAAAATGACGAAAAGTTGATCAAATCGATGCTTTTATTGAATGGAAAGATGAAATGAGAAAAATGAATAAAAAATTCTATAATTTTCTCGAAAATGAAAAATCTCTGCTGAATTTTAATTAAAAATATTCAAGAACTTTGGCTTTAGATTTCCGGACATTTTGAAAATTAACAACCGGTTGTTAATTTTTTTTTTCAAATCAAATATTCCCTGATCAAATACTGCAATTTGAATGAGTTTAATCTCATTTTGAAGCCTAAAAAAGTACCTTCAAAATGAAAAAAAAAAAAACGGAAATGACGTGTCGTCAATTTTCACAATCAATGATTCAAAAACACCCAAGCGAACCGTAATGAAGTAAAAATCACTTCACAATTGTAAAATATTCCCTTGGAAACCGCAAAAAACCCTTCACAAAATGAACTCATCCCCTTCAACCTCTGCAGGTAAAAATGAGTATAAAAAATTTGCGGGTCAACATAACCGAGCGTTTATGGGACTGGACATTAAAAGCAGAAGCGCTGTACGAGTCCTCCTGGAAGAACAAAACAATCCTAGTCCTTCAAGTGAGTCAATCCCCGACAATAATCGCCCCCCACTCAGCCAAACATTTGCCCCTCACTCAAACTCCCCAGAGTCGTTATTCTTTAAAAAAATCTTCCGAATAAAAAAAAAAAACACCAGGATTTCGAGAAAGAATTGCTGACGAAGATGAAGAAAGAGGGCTGGGATGGAAATGAATCCACCGACAGCCTTCAATGGACATTCGCCGGAGCGCTGTTCTACTCCATAATTGTCATCACCACAATAGGTTCTCCCCCCCTTATTCGCTACTTTTTTACCTCTCTAATCCATCCAGTAGTCGAAAAGAATAACTTTCTAGGCAATAACCCAGTTGGCCAGATATAATCTCATAATTTTTTTTTTTTATTCCACCAGGCTACGGTCACATTGCACCAAAGACACCGAGAGGGAAGATCGTGACAATCTTTTACGCCATACTCGGCATACCACTGATGCTACTGTGTCTATCGAATATCGGTGACATCATGGCATCGAGCTTCAGGTAAATCTGCTCGATGGTCCATAGAACACACGTTCCCTCGCTTCTGTCCACATTTTTTTTTTCGCCCCTTTTATTTATTTTCCCATTTTTTTTATGCCCACTCATCCGTTCAACATTTGTCGACTTTGTGAGAGAGCGAGTAAAAGCACCATGACGGGTATTATTTTTGGCTGAATAGTTTGTATTTAATACCTCCCTATTTCTACTTTTATCCAATGGATTACTCGACAGGTTCCTTTACTGGAAGGTATGCTGTTATGTGTGTGTAAGGCCACCGAAACCCCGTAGAGTTAGAAGTGGTACATTGGCAAGGGGCTACAGCGTTCGACAGGGTTTGGGGTAAATATGGATTACATGTCAATGTGACACATGTAAATGTTAACACAAAGAAATTCAACACACGCATTCAACACAATTATCAACAGAGTCTTCGAAATCAATAAATATTTAGTTTGAGGAGCAGAAGAAAAAAATTGCGAAGTATTGTCAATTTCCTAATATTATGTCAGTCAAGCATTGTATGTAGTCTAAATCCAATAGTTATCAAATTCATTGACAAGTTCTTTAAAGAATGTGAAACGAAAATATAATTAGGCTGAAGAATTTGAAACTTATATATTCATACATATGAATTGAAAAAATATATGAGATCTCTAATGCTTTAATAAAAATAAATAAATAAATAAATAAATAAATAAATATTTACTTTTGGCATGAGATTTAATTTGATAAAAAATCCAAAAAATATGAACAACAATACCGTGAATTGCGTCAATAAATGAGAACATATAAATTAGTAAATTGGCAAATAAAATAAATTGATATCAAATTCCAATTAAACTAATCTCAACAAAATAATATGAACAAAATAATAGTGTTTGCATTTTTGATAGAGTAGAAATTGTAGCTGCATGGCAGTTTATTCCTCGCAACAACATCGAACACTGACGCGAAAAATTTCAATTACCCCGGCGATCCCGGTAGTCGAATACTCTGAGTCATCTTGATACTAATCCCTCAGTTATTATCGCAAGTAGGGATTATTGAGGTGACACAAAATGTCAAATACACACACACCCAACTACACACGTTTTAAATTTGTGTATGTTAAACTGTCAAGTGTTGAAAATGCATGTGTTAAATCTGTGTTGAAATTTACGTGTGTTATTTTGACGGGTAATGTAAATATGCCTAGGATACCGAGGATATCCTTATCACGGAATTTAATCACGCACGAGAAAATTCAATAGAACCCTAGCGAATTCGCTAGACAATTCTATTGGATTTCAATTGAACTTTCTATTAGTTGTCGGCCGATTCTATTGAAATATTCAATAGAAAATATTTTATATCAAAAGTCAGTGAAATTCGATCTTTCTACACTACTCATTCATTTGAGATATTTTCAATAGAATTCCCTGAGCTCAAATTTTCCAAATTTTTTGTTTCATTCCTTGACGAAAAGAAAAGAAAAGAAGAATAGACTGAAAAAAACTTGGAACCCTTGAGTTCACGTTCGCCAGAAAATTTGATCCGAGAAAGTTCAATAGAAATCCGATAGAATTGTCTAGCGAGTTCGCCCGAATTATCTACTAAATTTTTTCGTGCGTGATATGCACACAATCCCTCAAACTGTCCCTTGTAAAGACGAGCGGCGCCAAATCGTGGAGCATCATTTCGTCGATCAATCAGAACAAGTCAGAGATCAGCTGACTCAGCACTAGGTCTATCGGACAGTATGACAAGATCCACGGATAACGATTATCGTGGATATCAATTGTCCCGACGTTATGATGATGGTAATTTTAATGAATCAAAGTCCTACGGCCAACGCTCAACACTGCCTAAAACAGCTGCACCGAGGAGTCTCAATGTAACTGGTACATCAAGATATACTTGTGATTATCGGTGTGCATCAGTGACACCAAGAATTGGGGGTAGATCTGGTAGACTAACTGACGGTAATATTGCTGGAACTACTCAGTCGTTAGATAGACGACTCCTCGTTGGCTCGAATGATGTAGATAGGACTCCAGTTCTTTTCAACAAGTATGCTATTGACGAGCCAGAGTTCAACGAGAGTCGAATGACAAGGAACAAAAGAGGTACTTAGACGAATTGGTTCAGGATAAAAATAAGGGGGTAGGGCTAAATGGGAGGGGGAAAAATACATTTGAGATAGGGCAATTGTTTTAACAGAATTGCTGAATGACTTTGAATCAACCAAACCGAGTATGAGGAGGAGCGATAGAGCTGGCACTGAGTGTGCAACATTACCGAGATCATCTGGATCGGGTGTACCTAGGAGAGCGCGTTCCGTTGATCCGGGTACATTAGGACAAGAGCCCACTGTCTATCTTGAAATGGCAAAACCCCGAAAAATAGCATCGCTCAATAACCGGAGACCCAGGAGTAATCTGGGATACACACGTAAGCGAAATTTTCTATTGACGTTTTTTCGCTCTTTTTTTTTCCTAGCGTGTCGTGCTCCTCCGTTCTACAACATTTTCAGAATATTTCGCAGAGAGAGGAAAATGTGATTGACATCATTGTCAATCTGCTAGTAATTCCGAGGTGGATATGAGAGAACATGGGTATTGATTTTGGG